TTTTTTTTTTTGAGTCAGTGTCTCACTTTGTCACCCAGGCCGGAGTGCCGGAGTACAGTGGTGCAATCTCAGCTCACTGCAACCCCTGCCTCCCAAGTTCAAGCGCTTCTTCTTCTGCGTCAGCCTCCCAAGTAGCTGGGACTACAAGCGCGCGTCACCATGCCCGGCTAATTTTTGTATTTTTAATAGAGACAGGGTTTTACCATGTTGGCCAGGCTGGTCTTGAACTCCTGACCTTGTGATCCGCCTGCCTCGCCTCCCAAAGCCCTGGGATTACAGGCGTGAACCATTGCGCCCAGCCCTGGGTTTGCATTTTGAAAGCTCGCTGGGCTGCCGAGCGGAAAGGCTGTAGGGGGCGGGCCTGAAACAGGGAGGCAGGTTTCTGAGGCTGCTTGCGACGTGGGGCGGGGTCGTCTGGCAATGGCTACGAGGGGGGACCAAGGGAGTACTTACCACTAGGGGGAGGGCCTTGGCCAGCACCTCTGCTCAGTGGGGAGCCAGGCCCCGCCCCAGGTGAGGGGCTTGTAAGGAACTTTGTCTCCATCATCCGCAGGGTGGAGCGGAGCCGTCTGGGGTCTGGAGTCCGGGAAGAGTCGAAGGCTTGTGAGCGGCCCAGGCGTGGGCGCCTGCGGCGGGAGGGCGAGACCAGGAGGTTGGCACCGCAGGGCCTGTGCGCACCGAAGCGCAACAAATAATCTTGGCCAAGACTGCCCGGCCACCACTGGCTCCTGCGGAGCGTGCGCACCTGGGCGGGCGCGCGCATCTGGGAACCGCCAAGCCGTGCCACATTTCCGCTCCTTCTGGCCTGGCCTTCAGAGATCGACCCGCGGCGGCTGAGCGCGGGGCCTCCTCTGCTGAAGGCAGCTCCCAGGGCTCCAGAAACTCGCAGTCAGTGGTGGGAGGGCCGGAACAGACCTGCGCAATAAGAACCAGATGATGATGTTGCTGTAGTAGTTTGCAGAGCACAGAGAAGGGAGCAAGCAGTGACAGCAGAGAGGAATCCAGAAGGCTTCCAGGAGGAGGCACCATTTGTGATTTGGGCTTGCAGCAGGAGGAGGAAGTTGACAGGTGAATAAGGGGAGGGCATGCCTGCCAGGCGAACCGTCTGTGATGGGGAAGTGTCCAGTCCGCACCATGACCCCACTGTCCACTTTCCTGACCAAGTAGGAACCATTGGACTCCTCTCTTGTCCTGGGCCTTTTTGTTTAGTCCACCCTCTATTTCATTTTATTTTATTATTATTTTTTGAAATGGAGTCCCGCTTTGTTGCCTAGGCTGGAGTGCAGTGGTGTGATCACAGCTCACTGCAACCTCCACCTGCGGGGTTCAAGCGATTCTCCTGCCTCAGCCTCCTGAGTAGCTGGGATTACAGGAATGCGCCACCACGCCCAGTATTTTTTTTTTTTGGGGGGGGACGGAGTCTTGCTCTGTCCCCAGGCTGGAGCACAGTGAGGTAATCTGGGCTCACTGCAACCTCTGCCTCCCAGGTTCAAGCAATTCTTCCGCCTCAGCCTCCTGAGTAGCTGGGACTACAGGCCTGTGCCACCACGCCCGGGTAATTTTTGTATTTTTAGTAGAGACGGGGTTCCATGTTGGCTAGGATGGTCTTGATCTCTTGGCTTTGTGATCCGCCTGCCTTGGGCTCCCAAAGTGCTGGGATTACAGGCATGAGCCACCGCGCCCGGCCAATTTTTGTATTTTTGGTAGAGAAGGGGTTTCACCGTGTTGACTAGGCTGGTCTCGAACGTCTGACTCAGGTGAACCGCCCACCTCGGCATCCCACAGTGCTGGGATTGCAGGCGTGAGCCCTCACACCAGGCCCGCCTGTTTATGTTTAGCCCATTTTCTCCCCGCCATCCATCCCCCTCCACACCGCCACTCTCTGCCTTTGCTGGAGCCCTAAATCACCACCCTGGCCTTCCATCCTCTCAAGACATCTGCCCCACCACTGCCAGGGTGCTCTCTTCCTTGTTTCCTCTCTATAACCCCTGTCCATCCTGTACCTCTCAGCCACAGCACCTGCTCCAGCCCTGGTTTCCTCACAGCTGCCTGGTTTTAGGGCTAACAGGATTCACTGCATGTGATTACTTGCTCTTGCCACGGGAGAGGCAGCATGAAGGCAGGCCCCGGGGGTGCGGGCAGAGGCTTCAGGGCAGCTTTGTCTCCATGTCTGCAGTGTCCAGCATGGTGTCAGTTTCAATACTGACAGGTATTGATCAATTTACCACCTATGCAACTTACGACCATTTGACTTTACAACCACAATCTCTAGCCACGACTGCTCTGCGTCTGGCAGCGCAAACATTGCCCAGCTGGGCGTACGACAGTGCAGACCAGCTTCCGGCAGCACCACCATCTCCACGTGCACCATTTCAACTGTACATATAGCCTACTCAACTTACGACCAAATCGTGTTACAACCGGTCCGCGGTCCCGACCTTGGTCGTAAGTCGATCACTAGCTGTATAGGACACTAGACTGAATGAGCAGAGGGTGGCGTGCAGCAGGAGGCTTGAGGATAGGGGTGGGTGAGAGCGGCAGAGGCAGGCAGCGGTTAGACTACATAGAGCCTTACATGCCAACCTAAGCAGCTTGCCATTCATCCTCAGGGCAATGGAAGCCAGAGAGGGCTGGAGACCTGGGAGAGTGGCCTGGTAAAATGTCCGGTGAAGGGCCAGGGGGCTAATGTGGAGGCTGTCACAGTGGTCGCAGTGAGCTGGGACAGTGGCAGGTGGGGTGGACAGGAAAACAGAGAAGTGGTTCTCAACTGGGGACAATTTTGCCACCACCCCCCCCCCAAGCATTGAGCATTGCCTGGAGACACACCGGTGTCACAACTTGGGGAGTGCTACTGGTGTTGAGTGGGTAGAGGCCAGGGATGCTGCTAAATATCCTACAATGCATGGGACAGCCCCCATAACAAGGAGTGATCTGGCCTTAAGTAAGTGTCAACAGTGCTGAGCATGAGAAACCCTGCCCTAGAGGAACATCCAGAGAATCGCCTGCAGGGTGCGGGGAAATGGAGCGTATCTCAGCCTGAACTCTTGGAGCCACGCTGAGGCCAGGCTCTTCTGTATTTTAGCCATGTAAGAATCCTGGGCGAGTGTCACTCAACCTCTCTGCACATGGTTTCCTCATCTTTTTTTTTTTT